GGAAGCGCGAGGGTTCTGTTTTTCGCCAGCCTTTTTTTTTTTAGGTCGGCGATATGCGCTTGGGCAAAGCTTTGCTCCGGCGTTTGTTTTTTTTAAAAAAAGAAAAGGTCCTTAGTTTAACGTTTCAGAGGACTCCGGGACCTCAGGGAGGCCAGTTTGCTCTTTAAACTTTAAAGGTAAGTCCTCTCTTCAGGGCATGCTTTTCGGGACGGGGTGTTTTGCGCATGCGCGAAGATCGCCATTCTGTGGATGGGTGCCTATGCGCATGCGCAAACTGAGTTTTTTAAAAAACCGCCGACGCCCGCTGTGTGTGAACGGGCATACAGCTATGGGTTCCGCAGAGAGGAGGTAAGTGTGATCGCATTTCAGCCAGCATAAACTGCAACGGTTCCAATCGGTACAGTTTATGCCGGCTGAAACGCCCCGTCTGAACGCACCCTTACAGTGCTATCCTAAGCAGAGTTACATGCTTCTAATCCCAGTGGCCCTGACCTGGATAGCCCAGGCTAGCCCAATCTAAGAAGCTAAGGACAGTCAACCCTGGATAGTATTTGGATGGGAGACCACCAAGGAATACCAGGTTTGCTATGCAGAGGCACGCAGTGGCAAACCACCCTGTACATCTCTTGCTTTGAAATTCCTATGGGGTTGCAATAAAATGGCTGTAACTTGACGGCCAAAAAAATTCCTACAGATAAATTTAGCAGAGCATGACTCTATTTAGGATGGCACTGTTAATGTGTTGGAAGTTCTTGGTATACATTATGTCATTAATCCTTAGTACAGACCTGTGAGGTAGGCCAGCATTTTCCCCATATGGGAAGGTAAGGCTGGGAGACAATGGATTATCTAGGACTACCTGGTGAGTTCATGGCTGAAGGCACTCAGCCACAACACTGTTTCATAACACTGTTTCATAATCATAATTTATTTCAAATAAATAAATAAAATCCATGTCTTGGGCCAGTCCTATAGAGCCCAACAAGAACTTTTGTGTTAAAATTCAGGCTCAACCTGAGAGCCCTTGGATTTTTGTCAGCTGAAGAATTCGACTGACAGAGGGATGACCCAGCCAGTTTTGTCACCTGCTTGGCAAGGTAAAGTGAACCCAGCACAAAAAGCGATTGTACACAAATAGCCTAGATTAAGGTCTCTGTCTCTTGATTTATAACAGAAATGTGAGATGATTTCAAATTGATCCTTCTTCCTTCTCAGGGCTCAAAGGAAGAGGTTCTTTTCCACCGGCAGAGAACAAATTTAATTACTACCATGAATAGCTCCACTATTGCTTCAGTGTTACATGGAGATAACTGTATTTTTTTCTGCAGGATTGCACAGCAAGCTGTGAGCCATTCATGGTCCATGTCATGGTAAAATATGTAAATAGCATCACGTTGTCTTGGAATAAGAACATTATTAAAGCTTTTCGGCACGGTAATTAGATTCATAGTAAGCCTTCCCTAAGCCCTTGCTAATTAACTGTATTGCAACAAGTCAACTCGAAGAGAAAGGAACGGAGGACCTTTACAGCGCAATCCTAAAGCAAAGGGATACCCTCCTAAGCCCACTGAAGTCAATGGGCTTAGAAGGGTATAACTTTGCTTAGGACTGCACTGTTAGTCACCCAGCAGTGTTTTCCATTCAGCCCCAAATCACAGACTGATCATGGTATTTTGGACAATGGAAAACTGTCCCTTGACCCTTGCATCCACTCATATCTGCCCCCTTTTCTAAGGAGGACAAGCAGGGGTGCAGAGACTCCCTCAGCCCATGGTCAGCATACTCAGCCCAGGCACCATGGATTTTAGATTCCCCTATCCCATTAGAACTCTGGACAATGGCAGAAGTACCCAGGATAGACAGCTCTGCTTAGGTCATTGTAATGGCTTCTTCCAATTTAAACTGCAGTATTCCTGAAGAAGCAGTATCCTCAATGAAGACCTATTGCTGTGTTGCTAGTGGCCCAAGAATCTGTAATTCTTGGTGCTGCATCTGCTGAATCACTGCTCTGATCCAGCATTCTGGAGTTTATGCTAGTTGGGACCCTGTTCACAAGCCATTTCTTTGTCTCCAAGAAGGCTAAGAAATCTATGGCTGTAGTCTTCTTAAGTCCTATCAACCTAAGCAGTTCAAAAGCAAGAAATTACAAGTAGATAAATAGGTACCACTTTGGTGGGAAGGTAACAGCGTTCCGTGTGCCTTGGTGTTTAGTCATGCCGGCCACATGACCACGGAAACATCTTCGGACAGCGCTGGCTCTTCGGCTTTGAAACGGAGATGAGCACCACAACCCTAGAGTCGGACTCGACTGGCTTTCGTGCAAGGGAACCTTTTTACCTTTTTACTCTTCTTAAGAGAGGAAGAAATTCTTAGAACATACAATACAAGCTATGTATTGGCTCATGTTTTAGCAAGGAGTAGGTTTTGAGGGCAGATGCTAAACTCTAGAAGATAGTCTGGATAGTATACCCTCTTCTCTTTTAACTTCCAGGTGTAGAGGAACTAGGGGAGTTTCAGAATTTTGCCTTCTTGGAACTAGATGTGCATGGTTCCTTTTCACCTGCTAGTTCTCTCTTTTGCATACATGGGTGTGGACTTGAATTGCTTATCTGTCCCTAAGGGGAGCAACTATTACACATGTTCCCCAGACAAAAATTCTCCCTGAGTCCCCACACACACAGCTGGGGCCCCTTCATGTTAAGAGGAACATAAACAAGATTCTTGTAGGCATGCTGTTACTACCTACCACCCAGGGGTCATTTGGGGCCAGAGCACACTGGAGCACTGCTCCGGCAGCTCAGCTCAGCAGCCCTGCCCCCGCGCTCCTTTTTTTTAGAGTTGTGCTGCAGCAGTGACACGATCTTTCCATTATACTCTATGGGGCCATAGAATATGTGACTCTACAGAGAAGGGGTTTAAACTTTAAACCCCTTCTCTATGGAGTCGCACCGCAGTGGCGGCGCAATCTTTCCATTATATTGTATAGCCCCATAGAATATAATGAAAAGACCATGCCGCCACTGCGGCACAACTCCAGGTCTGCGGAGAGGGCGGGGGGCCCCTCTAGGAGCCTTCCTCGGCTTGCCTGCTTGGGCGGGCGACCTGAGGAAGGCACAGGGAGGCATTTAAATGTCTCCCTGCTTTCTCCCCAGCCCTTCGGGGCCGCATCTCAAAACGCCCCCCCTCCCCTCCCCCAGCTGGCCTGCCAAGGCGGGCTGGGGGGGGACTCTAGAGAGAAGGGGTTTAAAGTTTGCTTCCCCCCCCAGCCCACCTTGGCAGGCCAGCTGGGGAAGGGGAGGCTTTTGAAGATGC